CAACTGAACTGATTCCGTTTTCTTGATTCACCTTACGTTTGTTACATTTGTGTCCTCCTGGCTATTTTTGCATTATTGATGTGTGGAATATTCACTTTTATTTGTGGTTCATATTCCTAATTGCTAAGTCTCATGGACATGAATAGCTCAGATACATTTCAGAGAAAGCTGGATAAATCAAGGGGGACGTCTTGTGGCAAAGTGGGTATCATTCCCAGCCAGAAGGTCCAGGTTCAAGTCCCGCACCTGGACTTGAGGGCCAAGGATGGTGCATTCATAACACAAATCTTTCCAATGTGCCCAGTGGTAGATGGTAAGAGTGGAAGAGTGCCCTGGTCAGCCATGCTTGCTGCAGAGTGATATTGGTCAACGTGAAAGGCTGCTGAATCATCCCAGGAAAGCTGAGCTATTGGGATAGTGTGAGCACATGCTTTGGTCTGCCTCATGTGCCACTAGATGCCAGGAGGAGGAAAGGAATAGAAAGTTAAAGAGGAAGGAGTGAATGCAAGAAGGCTCATCTAGTGTAAACCCACAACAGCTGTTATTGTGGTGCAGAATTCAATCTAATTTCTTGACATGTTGTGCGTGACGGATGCCCAGAATAGAAAACAATTAAATTCCCTGACCCACACCCCCCTCCTCGATCTGCACAGAAGCTAAGAAGGAAGAGTCCCCAAAGGAATCCTCTGAGAGCCATTGTACTGAATTATTATCCAGGTATTTGAAAACTCTGGGGAACAAGTGTCAGAAGGAGGAACAAATGGGCCTTAAGTCCTTTGCATCTGGGGGATAAATAATTAATGTTTCAAGCGATGTCATGCTAGTAATTTTTTAAGTCGCTGCTGTTTTATTGATTCAATGCAGATTTATCGTCAATACTTACCAAACAGCTGAGAGGATTTGTTGCCATGAGGTAAACAAGACTCCAAATGGCTAAATGAGTTGCTTTTAACTCAATGAGGTGCGCATATCATGTTCTATTTCCCAAGGCTCATTACAGTTTAGAAGAGCTACATTTCCACTTCATGATTCCATCTCTTCCTCCTTTTGAAGCCAGTCGATGTTATTCGCTGAAGGCTCAACTCCTGTAAACAGGAGCAGCAAATCAACCTGTATTCATTCAGAAGTGGACACTTAAACTATCCTGTTAATGAGGACAAGTTACACTACAGGCAGCACAAGCATTCCCAAAGTCAATGCACTCATTCAGTATTTTGTAAAGCTATCAGCAGCTGTTATTATGAATTAAATACCATTTGTTCCTTTAGTTAAACATTTCGACTCAGGGAGAAAGAAGACCGGAGACCTTTCCACTGAGACCTCAGCTAATGGACATTCCAAGGTTGTGGAATGTCCTGTCATCCCTTTTTACTTGCTTCCACAGTGTCTGTGGAATCGTCTGCCAAAGAGATTCTTGCATAGTGCCAAGTGCATGTTCCCACTAAGAGGTTTCTCTTGGACTGAGGAATCACTTTGAAGTATTTTAGCATGCAAATAATCAAGATCCAAAATAACTGTTATGAAACATCCTTATGTAATCATATTTCAACAATGTTGAAGATGAAAGGAATATTCTACTAAGTAGCGACAACGAGGTATGAATGAATACAGATGGCAGAGTTAATAAGAAGGCATTAACATGCTAAGGATTAAAGTAGCATTGAGAAGCAACATAACCAAAGCTGCAACAGTTTATCAAGGTCTTCTAAACCTTCAGATGTGTTACCAGTTTAGAATGTACTACAGAGTGCATTATTATAATATTTCTGAGTATGATAGTTTTCACTACGATTTGTATTTTTTTGTTGTGTTGTTTGTGGTCATGGAACCTTTGGAATTAGCACTCGTCATAGAAGTGATACTGCCCTGTAGAGTAGCATAACAGTGATGCTGCAATTATTTTACAATAGTAAAGGTAAAGTTTCCTTTGTCTTACTGGACCATATGGCTACAGTCTCATTGGAATGGGATGACTGGTGATGGTTTAGCCTGAGGATCACAGGTGAGGGGAGAGGTTGAGAAGGAGAGTCTTTCATGGTAACCTCAGCCGGTATGGGAGTTGAACCCAAATTGTTGGCTTCATGCTACATCATAAACTAGGTGTCCCGCCAACCTAGCTAACTGACAACCCCTGTACCCCCACTATGGTAATATATTAAAGGTATATGATCTAATGATAGCTACAGAATACCAATGAATTATAACATAAATTCAATGACAATGACAGGATGGTCACATGAAGTGTGAAACAGCATTACAAGTCTCTCAGATCCATCACCAGAATCATTGCTTTAAATTGCCAAAACTTACTAAAGGGACCAGAGCTACTTAAATTATATTATCTCAGTTGACACTGTGGTGTTGCAGATTCTTCTCTTCCTTTCTCAATCACATGTTAATCAAATTTCACCGCAATAACAGACCGAAATCCCTATAATGGACTAGGCAGCAAAATACTAGCAGGAATCTACAAGAATTTTATTGGAATGTCAGAAGCTTAGCATAAGCATCAGTTTCCACATTTCCCTTCTGAACACTTTCTCTGTCCAGAAGTCAACCCTGCACAGGGGAAGAGGACACTCATTATGTCTGCGCGGGTTCTCCAAATGAGCCTCGTAACTTTGTGCCTTTCTCTTCCTTTCTCCCCATAACCCTTGCACGTTGTTTGTATTTAACCAATCACCTAATGGCAGCTTGAACCTGCCTCCACATCACTTCCAGGCAGTAAATCGCAAATCTGAACCACTTGCTGCGTGAGACAGGCTTTTTTCTTTTCACATCACAATTGCTACTTTTGCAAATCACTCGGCATTGGACGATTATTTGAATAGAAATAGTGTACAAGAGTGTGGGGTAAAGCCAGGAGATTGGCGCGAGGTAATGATGGGTCTAGGTCTGAAACGTCAGCCTCTCTGCTCCTATGATGCTGCTTGGCCTGCTGTGTTCATCCAGCCCTGAACCTTGTTGTCTCGAGGTAATGATGCTTGTTTAAAGAATCACAGGCATGATGGGCTGAATGGCCTCTTTCTGCATCATTACAATTGTCTGATTCCATGATCTTATAGCTGGAAACTCTCTGTTTAACCAGATTTGAGAGCCCTCCAATCATCCTTAGCAGGAGAGTAAGCCACACTGTAGCTGTGAATGGGGGAACATACAATGTATGGCTGTTTCCCACATTGTGCTTGCACACTGACCTGGTACCAGGAAGAACCTTGTAGTAAAAGTCCTGACAATTTCTCATTCTCTCATGCAATGATGCAATCAGTTCTGTATTTGTGTGTGCCTGTGGAATTCGCCATTGCGGAAAGCAGTCATGGCCAAAGGATTTTATGATTTTGTGGAGAAGTTAAATATAACACTTGTGGCTGAAGACATCAAAAGGGGAAAAGAAGGAACAGGCTATTGAGTTGAATGATGAGCCATAATCATATTGAATGGAGCACCAGGCTTGAAGAGCTGAATGGCCTACTCCTGCTCCTTTTCTATGTTTGTTGCAAGGAGTTATTTGTTAGCAAAGAATTGGGTTAATGAAAAAGTAAAAAGAACATGTTTGTGTCAGTTAGAGCACTGTGAACACTGATATTTCTTATGTGATGAGCCCATCTGAGTCTAAAAATCTCTTGGTGCTTCTAATGAGAATAATGTGATGCAATTTCATTCCCATTTTATCAGCCACTTCATATCTGAGAGGGTTAACTGACATCATGAAATAAGCTTGGCCCCTAAGGATATAAAGCATTGTTCCAGGGAGAAGCTAACTAGTGTTACAATTGCAACAAAAACAGAAGTTTCTGGAAAAGCTCAGCAGGCCTGGCAGCGTCTGTGAAGAAAACAATCAGAGTTAACGTTTCAGGTCCGATGACCCTTCCTCAGAACAGATTTACAGCATCTGCAGTTCTTTCAATTTTTATTTAGTGTCACAATTGTGTGTTTGCAATTAACAGTTCAGTCCCAAGTTGCTAAATGATACATATTCTTAAGTTCAGCCTGTGATTTTACAAAAGATTTTCATGTAACTAGCTATTAAGTGATGTGCAATAAATCTCTTCTTTTTATCAAGACTGAGTTTCTCTTCTGCCAAAGACTTTGTATGTGGGCATCCTTGCCATGCAGTATGTGTAGCCTACAGTAAGACCAATTAGATGAATTAGTGGTAGTGAACTTATCCAAGCCATCTCAGATAGTTCCAGCAGATAAGACCATGCTGGCAGAGTTGGTATTTGAACATATACCAGTTCCTTCCTGCAATCCATCTGTTCCTTGCTGTAGTAGAATTATAGAAAAGACTGAGCCGGTGTTCATAAAGTCAGCTTTGGGAGTGTTTTTGAAGGCGTGAGAGCTGGAAAAGGGAAGAGATTTTACAACATGGGGCACCAGAAGCTCAGAACATGACCATTGTTGTTAGATTGAGAGGAGAACACAATACAGAATAGACCAGAGTTGGATGGATAAAAGATGTGATACAGGACAGAAGTCTCTGCAAGGTGATAGGTAACACTGTGGGTGAGTGTCAGAGAGTAGAATACAAGGGGTTAATAATGGGCTCTTACAGACTTGATTGATTTTCTGGCAAAGCTCTGGATCTAACAATGCTGTGCTGTTTTAATTTGCATTGTGTGAATTTTGTTTGGTCACGGTGTGTTTTATCATGGAGTGGTTGTAATGACAATGTTGTGTCTGATGGTGCTATGAGTTAAATTTCTATCCTGACATGTCTGATCTGACTGGCCCAAACCCCAAAGGGAGCCATGTACTTGCAATATTATAGGGGAAGGAAAAAGGGAAATTACTCATATGATTTTCTTCCCTTTTCATTCTGAGAGCCGTGGATCCAGAGCATATTGTTGCTGGCATAGACAGTGTGTAATAGTTGTAACATACAGGAGGACAGATCTGCAATGCACAATGTGTTATTGTTGTAACTTGCTGTATGTTGATTTTGTAATGTAGTGTATTGTTGCTGTCTGAGATGTCAATATGTTTCCATTATTTTTCAGGCAGCTACTTTGGAGAGACAGATCTTTGATTTCCTGGGCTATCAATGGGTTCCTATCTTGGCCAACTTTTTATACATTATGGCAATCATCCTGGGTATCTTTGGAACCATCCAATACAGACCCAAATACTTAGTTATGGTAAGTGCATAATTTGACTCGTAACTGTTCTTTAGAAATGAGATTAAAAATCCAAGAGGCTCCTGCTGTTGTGCATTAGATTAAATGGACAGTGGTGGTGAAATGTATAAATTTGCTTTAGTATCTCTGGGCTAATTGGTTAGAGTTTCACACTGAATCACCGTCCGGGGTGTCATGATTCCACCTCCTGTAAAAGATACTTGTCTATGTGGACTCACTGCACAGACTTCACTGCTGAGGAGCTTCCCAACTCTGACCTTCTTTTGACTGCAGTGGTATATTGGCCACTGAATTGATGGATGTAGGATAAAGGAAAAATACTGTGGATGCTGGAAATCTGAAACAAACACGGAGAATGGTGGAGAAACTCAGCAGATCTGGCAGCATCCGTAGAGAGAGAAAGAAAGTTAACATTTTGAGCCAAGTATGATTCTTCTTACAGAATTGTTCTAAAGAAGGACTCAAAGTGTCAACTCTGTTTCTCTCTCCACAGATGCTGCCAGAGCCACTGAGTTTCTCCAGCAATTTTTGTTTGTGTGAGAGATTTAAGAAGTTTCCTGTGCCAACAAATAAGGGAAACAGCACAAAAGAAAAATGGAAAAAATAACCTGGGTTGGGGTAAGGATGTAAAAATGGCAGCATGATGTTAATGCACTCTTGTGTTAGAGATCAGCAGCTCTGACTGTTGAACTTGCTACTATGGCTTGTTCAAGTCATTACCGTGGCAACAAGCATCTCAGGAAGGTTGCTCACTGTTCTCTGTGAATTCTGCGCAGAGCAAGGCCAATTTGTTTTGCTAATCCAATGCAGAAAATCCAAGTCTATAAGTGTCAATGTGTATCTTTCATTCATTCAAAGTTGGCTTTCCTCCAAGTTACTGTATGAAATATCACTATACTGAAGTGGATATTTGACTAACTTGCTAATTTAACAGTACTGCCAACTATTTGTTGGTGCCAGAACCTTATTTTGCTGGAGTATAAACCAGTGTATTTGAAATGTCTTAAAAGACTCACTTTGGAATGCAAGTCCATGTTCTCAAATACCGCCCCCAGGGGCCCTGTATTAGAGGACCGAATAATTGTATAGTGCCTCAGGGACAAATTACACTCCATACCCTCAACAGTGACCCACAGGATACTCGCTGTTTGATGTGTCTGTGCTCAGGCTACCTGCCTATGGGACAATGCTGATATTTAATATTGGTGTCTCTATTGTTCGTACTATCAAAGCAAAGAAATGAAGGAAATCTTATTGGGCAATGGAGCACTTGAAAAGACTGTAATTATCTCTATCGCTTCAACTCTAGTGGAACAATCAGCACTTTAAAGCAGAAGTAATATCACTGCCAATCTCTAATAAAAACAGAAATTGCCGCGAATCCTCAGGATGTTGGAAGATCAGATTGTATGAGCGAGCAACCAAATGGATGTTTCAAGTCAGTGACAAACAATTCTGCTCTTAAATATTAACTCTGACTCCAATTTTATACATTCTCATAATAGTGAAGGAAGCGCTGCCAGAGATTTAGTGATTTCTGTGCTGTTAGTTTTCCCTGTCCCAATAGCAGCTTAAATTGGTGTCAAGTCATGGGGATCTCGTGGCGTTCGTCAACAGTAATGTTAGTAAGTAAGTAGGCAACTAATCACATTGTACTATCCTCACCCAGTAACTTCTCAATATGAATTATTTTGTTTATTATGGGATGTGGGTTTGGTGGCAAGGCCAACATTCATTGAATGCCCCTGATATCCTTGAACTGAGTACTTTACTGGACCATTTCAGAGGACCATTTTAGGGTGGCATGGTGGCTCAGTGTTACCTCACAGCGCCAGGGACCCGGGTTCGATTCCACACTCGGGCGACTGTCTGTGTGGAGTTTGCACATTCTCCCCCTGTCTGCATGGGTTTCCTCCGGGTGCTCCGGTTTCCTTCCAGAACCCAAAGATGTGCGGGCTAGGTGGATTAGCCATGGTGAATGCAGGGTTAAAGGGCTAGGGTGGGTCTGGATGCTGTACAGAGGGCTGGTGTGCATTCATCGGGCTGGATGGCCTGTTTCCGCACTGTAGGGATTCTGTTACATCACATGTGAGCATGTGATGCTAACCCCTTTCAATGTGGAGAGCTGCCACTATCCCTATTTCTGGCAGGGTATACAGAGTCTTGTTTCACTAACATGGTAGAGGAAAATGACTAGATAGTCTAATAAGAAGAGGCTCCTGTCTTAAACAAGATGTAGTTTGTTGCATGACAGCAATCAGTTACAACTTACACCAATAAATACACATTGAGACTAAGACTTTAAGGTGATCAAGATGTTCATTTCTGTCTTCCTTGAGACCGTAGCAGTTGTGCTTCTCCACACCCAAGTCTTAATGACATCATCAGATTGGGTGGAGCTTAATGCAGTCTTCACCAATTAACCCTTTCATGTCACTGTGCAGCCTTCACTGCTGAGAAGCCACTTAACACTGAATGTCTTTTGACCACAATGATATATTGGCCACTGAATTGAGGGATTTAGAAACATTAGAACCTTTCAGAGCCATGATCTTATACAACAGTAAAGAGTTAGCCACATTCCTCAGAGTCTGGAGTCACATCCAGGCCAAAGTAGTAAGAAAGGCAGATTTCCTTCCTAAATGGATATTAGTGAACTAATGGATTTCTCCACTAATTGGTAATTGTTGTCATGGTCACCATAGCTGAGAGTGGCTTTATATTCCAGATTTATTTATTAAATTTAACTTCCATCAGTTGCCATGATAGGACTTGGAACCATCTCCTTAGAGAATTAGCCTGGGCCTCTGATAACTAGGGGCATTAATGGGTGAGTGTATTAAAATAGAAACTGAAATAAAGTTCAATACTTCTTTTAACACGAGAAATGTTTTTAAACATATGTGGAACTTATTATTGTGGAATTTGGCATTCTATCAATATAGAATTAGCTTATCAGGACTAATAATTCTGAAATTAGTGATTCATTTGAACGTCAATTAAGTTACACTTGATATAACAAGATGTGGCTATCTTAAGGGTATTTACATTGAGATTAATAGCGTACAATGGAATATTCTCGCCAGTTGATGATTGCAATGAAGTGCACACAATGGAAGAGAATAGAGTCACTAGCAGCAATTTCTGGATTTCCATGTTATTCTGTGCATGTATGGACTCCATATGACCACAAGATGTAGGAGCAGAAGTAGGCCATTCAAGTCTGCTCTGCTACACAATGAGAACACAGCAGATTTGATAATCCTCAACTCTACTTTCCTGTCTTTTCTCCATAATCCTTGATTCCTTTACTCCCAAATATGCTGTGAGAATCAGTGGTGTGATGATCATAAATGCAGTGAGCTCCACAGCCATTATCATCACAAAATCCAAGCCTCAGTTTTTCTTTCCATGGAGAGAGCTTGACTTACTGAGAGTTTTTAGCATTTAATTGGTCCTGTAGTTTATATTACCTTATTCTTGAGAAGTAAACAACTTATACATATTTTCTTTCATGTGGAGTCCATTGGAGTACTCTTGAGAGAAAGATTAGACTAGAAAGATTAGTCTCAATAAATAATATTAATGAGTAACTTAGTAATAGTAACAAAGCAGAAGTTGCTGGAAAAGCTCAGCAAGTCTGGCAGCATCTGTGGAGAGAAAGCAGATTTAGCGTTTCACATCCAGTGACCCTTCTTCTTGAGCTCTGAGGAAGGGTCACCGGACCCGAAACGTTAACTCTGATTTCTCTCCACAGATGCTGCCAGACCTGCTGAGCTTTTCCAGCAATTTCTGTTTTTGTTTCTGATTTACAGCATCCGCAGTTCTTTCGGTTTTTTAACTTAACAACAGTGCTGGATCAGAACACGAACAAGACGCTTGAGTGCTCGAGATGGCTATCCTTCATGCAAGAGGCAGTGAATGGTTCAGTAAGCAGTGGAGAAATTGATAAAAGCTTAACCCTACTGATAATCTGTTAATCAGATGGTAGACTTGAGATGATCAGGTTGCTTAGTCTCAGCTGTGGCTCAGTTGGAAAAAAATATTAAATTGGAATCCTGTTGCCCCATGAGGTGGATGTAAACAATTCCAATGCAATATTTTGTAGAAGAGTAGGAGAACTATCCTGGGTGACCTGGGTGATATTTATCCCTCAATCACAGAAAACAGATAGCCCAATCAGTATCACATTTCAGTTTTGGTCTCTTTCTGTGCACAAATTGACTGACATGAATCCAATGTTGAAAATCTGTCTAGGCTTCAAAACGACCTCATTAGCTTTCAGGGGTTTTGAACTGTCTGTTGGTTGTTAAACGAGCTATTATAATGGCTTTCTTTTACCTTTGTAATATTTTGTAGGATTGTTATTGAATCTTATTGTTGTTCAATAAGATGTTCTTGATTTTATTTCATCGAGTCTTTTTATAACTTATCATCAATAACGGTAACTGAAAACAGCATGTTATTACATCTGTCCTGTTCAATGGCTCTGCTCATCGCTGGCCCTTGGGAGATAGGGATGGGGTGACATTCAAATTAATCATTCACTGAGGTTGTAGACTGGCTCGCCGAGCCGGTGTGTTTGGTTGTAAGCGTTTTATCACCCTGCTAAGTAACATTGTCAGTGTGCCTCCAGTGAAGCGTTGGTGTTCTGTCCCACTTGTTATTTATATGCCTCCGTTTGCTGGCGTGGTTGGTATTACTTCCGGTTCAAAACAAAACCAGAAGTGATGCCAACCACCCCAGCAAACTGAAGCATATACATAACAGGTGGGACAGAACACCAACGCTTCACTGGAGGCGCACTGACAATGTTACCTAGCAGGGTGACCAAACGTTTACAACTAAACACACCGGCTCGGCGATCATGTCTACAACCTCATCCACAACCCGAGCTACAAATCTTCTCAAAAACTTTAAACAGCAGCAAAATTATTCCTTTGGCATCACACACACACCAGGGTTTGAGTTTGGGCGATGGAGTAAAACAGGAAATCCCA